GCAATGCGGACCAGACTCTGACACCGGTCGTACAAGGACCTGACAGCCCGTATCAAGTGGCCCGGTACCCCATACTCCCGGAGAACCCCCCACATAAATAAAAAATAAAATTCACAATAAATATATTTTTTGTTTTATAATGTCACCTCCACTGGCCGTACAGGTTCACAAAAAGTCCTTGAAAAGGCCCACGCACCACCAGTTGATAATCACAGTTGTAGCGTATTTTGTGGCTCTGGATACATTTTATTAGTGAGACGAGGAGCAGAAATGTCTCTTGACTGTAAAGGTTGCAGAGCCCTGGATTAGTGGATTTGATCAGGTCTGAGTCGAAGCTACAGCAGGTTTCAGAGAGAACAGACTGACCAACTGAAGAAACATCAGAGGAAATATTTACAAAAACAAAGAATAAAAACAAGACGTCATGAAGTCTGCCTGCTGATATACTGAACAACTTGACCCAAAATTATATGGAAATGAAAACAAAACTGGTCTGTCTCTCTTTAGTGGACAGTCTTCATCAGTGGGTAAATCTGAATCACCTGTGGACAGCTGTCCTGGTCCTGGTCCACCACCTGTGTTAGATGTGTCTCTGCTCTAACACTTCATTTATATAAAAGTGATTTTGTTCCTGCAGAACTTTAAGACCTGCTGAGGAGCAGAGAAACAAGTAAAACCTGCAGGAAGGTGGTCTTCCAGGACCCCCACACTTGTTGTTTCTTGACCCACATTGGGGTCCCGCCCCTGACTTTGAGAAGCACAGGTTTAAATCAAACACTGACAGGAGGATTGTTAATAGAAACATGAACAGAGTTCTGTTGGGTCCGTTTCACGGTTCTGAGTGGACCGGCTGTAAAAACCCGCTGCAGGATTACAGAAACCCTGTGAAGCGTCCTCAGAGAGGAGATTATGTAATCTCATGTCGGGGCTGAGTCCTGGAGCGAAACCAGGCCGCTCCGCGTGGCGCCCACCACGCCGCCTCACAGAGGGGTATTTTTAGAGCGGTGGTCGTCATGGCGATGCGGGGAGGTGTCAGGCTCGGGTCGATGAACGGACCGTCGTGGTTCTGATGATTTAAACTGGATTCATCCTCCAATCAGATCGTTCGTCTGCTGACAGATGAAGAACAAATAAACAACAATCAACAACATCTATATTAAAATGTTTAAAAATATAGAGCTGAATTATAAAAAATGTAATAAAAACTGAAAGTTTCAACCAGCCTGATAAATATCAGTTAACTGTCTGTTAGTAAAATATCTGATGCTGTAATGATTGGATGTAGAGCTGCAGCTGATTAACGTTTGGAGTTATCCAGATTCAAGATGGCCGACTTTAGAAGACAGAAAAGGCTAAAGGTTGAGCTAAAGCTAGCTGGTAGTAGCTGAGAGTGGTTCTCCAGGGGGGGTTAGAGTAAGACCTGGATGTCTGAGTCACGCTGGGTTTCCTCTCCTCCAGGTACCGGTGAGGTCATCGCCATCATGATCCCCGAACCCAAAGGCCACGAGGTGGTGTCTCTGCTGAAGCGCAACATCACGGTCACCATGACCATCACCATCGGCACCAGGAACCTGCAGAAGTACGTGAGCCGCACGTCGGTGGTGTTCGTGTCCATCTCCTTCATCGTGCTGATGATCATCTCCCTGGCCTGGCTCGTCTTCTACTACATCCAGAGGTTCCGATACGCCAACGCTCGGGACCGGGACCAGGTACGGACCAGACCCCGCTGCTCAGTCTCTCCATGGCTGGGGTGGGCAGTCCTGGTCCTGGAGGGCCGCAGACCTGCATGTTTTATTTTTTTCTCTGCTCAAACACCTGATTTGAATGAATGAGTGATTATCAGGCTTCTGCTGTACAGAGGACCCAAACTGACATAATTAAAAATAAAAACGGAAATATATAAAT